ATTTACTAAAGCTAAACTTATTCATGCCCTATGACATAGTAATTCTGCTCCTAGGTTTTTACTCAACAGAACACATAATTATGTGTACCACAGACGTGTATGTGATTGTACATAGCAATACTATTCCTAGTGGCTGAACATGTCCACTAACATCTGAACAAACTGTGGTATAATCATATAATGAAATATCCTATGAGAATGAACAAGCTATTGCTACATGCAGCCACATGGATGGATGTTACAGATACACTATTGCGTGAAAGAAGCCAGACATCTAAAAGTGTATGCTACACAATTCTACTTATCCAAAGTTCAAAAAAATGGAAGATGTATCAGTAAACAGGTCAGGATACTGTTTACTTTTGGTAGCAGAGGTAGGGACTGGTATAAGGAGCTTTAGGAGCTGGCCATGTCCCCTGTTCTGGTCTGGTTACACAGGTGTGTTCACTTTATAGAAATCCATTGAGCTGTTCATTTAAGGTTCATGCACTTTTCTGTATGTATTTTATGCCTTGATTTTAAAATGTTCTTTTAAAAAGTTGAAAATTTGCCTGCCTCTGGCCTTTCTCCGATACAAGTTTTCACAGCTTTCCTGAACTTCCAGAATACCAAGTGGAATGAAATGATGACTTTTCCTTCATGGATGAAGGCAACAGCTTTGCTTACATTTTTTGTTTTTTCCTACAAGGAGATGTTAAATTTAATTCTGGACAGCCTATTTGTTTTTCTAAACTAGCTATTGCCAGGAAAACAGGCTGAAGAGTGTAGAGGGGTGTATGTGTGTGTGTATGTGTGTGCACTTTAGGTGTGTGTAATTGTGTATGCGTTTATCTGCATATAGGTGTATGTTTGCATGTATTTGCAAGCCACATAAATGACCATGCGTGTGTTTATGTTTCCTTCTTATACTGATGTTCTTGGATCGCAGTAAACTTGAAGTTGTTTCTAAACATCTGACTAGGCAAAGAAACTTCAACATTAGATCAGTGTCTGAGGCACATAGCACATGCTCAAAAAATATTTGTTGAATGAATGAAAGATTGACCAAGAAAATTAATGAACAAAAAAATGGGAGAGTTGAAAAGACTTGGATGTATGTCTTTATTTTCCGGTACAGTTGTCGCTGGAGAAGTCAGTTATTCAACTACATTCCCTCTTAGCCTGTCTTCCGGACACTGCTGAGACAGATGAGGAAAGGGGCGTGTGACTCATTTTACTCAGTTGATGGCTCTCGACCCTCCTTTCCGGATGCAGGGCCGGCCGAGGCCATGCCCACAGCTGCTGCTCAGCTTCTTTCCTAGCAGGGTCAAGGGCCGGGTGAGCTAATATTTGTTCAGCTTGTCCCACTACGGACACGTTAGGAAAGAGCAGCTCCATCTTGTGAGTTCCCATAATGTGACAGCCTCAAAATGTCCTCCTCCACTGGAAGTAGATTGCTCTGTCATTTATTTTATCAATATTGGCAATTTTAAAAATTGGGCCAAATAGCTTCCTCTCTTCTCATTCCCAAGCCTGTTTACTGTCTCCCCGGGGGTCTGCTCCTCTGTCTCACTTTGAAATGCTCCTGGCACATCCCGGTGAGAGACCACTGGAGCTTCCTTGTTTAGCTGTTCCCTTTGCCCCTTTGAACTTTGTAGCTCAACTCCCCTGGTGACGCAATGCTGGCCCAGGCCGTGACTCCCTGCAGTCTCCCTCCACCTCCACAGGGAGCAGACGTGCCTTAGGGCAGCCAAGCCCTCCGGCCACCAGCCCTGCTAGGCCAGCAGCTACAGGACCCCCACACTGCCGCTGGTCAGCCCTGGGGATCCTCGGCAGAGAATGGCAAACGTGGAGTCAGGGCGCCACCAAGCCTGGCTCCTGCATCCAGGATAGATACCACTCATCTACCGCGACATTCTTCTTCTCAGAGCCTAGAGCAAAGCTGAGAATCTTTCTTGGGCTAGTGCACTCAGTGGTCACCACCCATCAATAAAAATGGAAATTTGTCTGCTATCGCTGTGATTTCAAGTTGCCACACACATGGCATTCTCTGAATTTTCCATCAGCATTTAAGACCCACTTCTCTGAGATGAACTGAGCTACATAAAAAAGAACATGCACAGTGGCTCACATCTGCAATCCTAGTGCTTTGGGAGGTCAAGGTGGGAGGACCACCTCAGGCCAGGGGTTTGAGACTGGCCTGGCCAACATGGTGAAACTTCATCTCTATTAAAAATACAAAAATTAGTTGGGTGTGTTGGCACGCCTCTGTAGTCACAGCTACTTGGGAAGCTGAGGCACTAGAATTGCTTGAACCCAGGAAGCAGAGGTTGCAGCCAGCCAAGATAGTGTCACGACACGCCAGCCTGGGTGACAGGGTGAGACCCTGCCTCAAAACAAAAAAAATAGTACCCAGGGCAGTGGTTTATGCCTGTAATCCCAGTGCTTTTGGGAGGCTAAAATGGGAGGATCGCTTGAGACCAGAAGTTTGAGACCAGCCTGGGCAACAGAGAGGCCCTGTTTCTACAAATAATAATTTTTACAATTAGCCAGATGTGGTGACATGCACCTATAGTCTCAGCTACTCAGGAGACTGAGGTGAGAGGATCGCTTGAACCTAGGAGTTTGAGGCTGCCGTGTGCTATGATCATGCCACTGTACTCCAACCTGGGTGACAGAACAAGGCCGTGTCTTAAAAAAAAAAGAAAAAATGTCTGATGGAGACTCATAGTTCAGTAAGCCATTATATGTCCAGTGAGGTGCCAGGCAAGTCGGGGCAAGAGAAAGGATCATAAGCCCTTTGCTGAAGCTGCTTATGATGTCCCTGGGAGGGGCAGGACATATACATGAACTGCAGGGTTCATCAGGGGCTGGGCAGCGCAGCTCTGGTGGGAGGCTCCCATCATACACACAGAGAGGAGGCAGAGCAGGCGGGGGCTGGAAAAGCAGGAGCAGCCAGGACAGACTCCCAGGTGAGGGAGCCCAGGACTCAGGAGATGCATCTGGGAGATGGAGGCTATTGACAAGGGCACAGCTTCGAGGTGCTGCCACTCTGGAGCAGGAGATGAGCTGAGCAGGAGGAGAACCATCCGCAATGCTAAGAGTGGGCCACAGGATCCTCTGTGCTGGCAGAGTGGGCCTGGACAGTGTGCCGGGGAGAGTATCCAAGCCCCTCATTTTCCATCTTTTCTCCCAGTCTGATCCAAAGCTTGCTGGAGAGAGGGGAGCGCTGAGCAGGGAAGGGGGAGTTTGGGGAAGGGACACAGCAGGCTCTGGCTGTCTGGAGCCATCCCCGCACTACAGCGAGAGGGCTGGGGCCCTGTTGAAGGATTTGTTGTCACTGCTTAGGTCGAGGCAATGACAAGACTTGGAAAGAAGCAAATGGTTTCCAACAAAGAAAACTGTACAGGATCAGGGGGCTTGGGGAAATGCACGGAGATGTGAGGTCTGGGACAAGTCAACATAGATTCACAAGGAAAACAGAAAAGCTGTGGTGGTGAGAAACACCCATGTGCCTGGCACTCGGGGGAAGAGCGGTGGAGTCTCTGGCTCAAGAGCGCAGCAGGGGGCCCACACCTTCACTCCCTCCCCACTTGCTTCTCCCGCATTGAAAACACAGCTCTAATGAATCACCACATTCTACCTCTTTTCCTATCTCCCAGTGCTAAGACATTTCCAGTACGAGAGCTGACCTGGAGCCAAACAGCAATTCCTCCTGGCGCGCATGACTCATTGGAAAAAGTGTCTCATAGGCTATTAAAAGAGTGGGGGAGGGCGGGTAAAACATTTGGGTTCAAAGCAAATTATATGGAAACTAAACAAAGTACGTATAATTCCGACACTGAATACTGCTTTCCTCAAATAACAAGACAGCCAGAAAAATGGGCTCTTTAGTTAACGCAGTGCACAGATGTTCCAGAAATGAATTAAATGCTTCAAAACAATGCAAATGAAACTTGGCTTAAACGGGTCAATCCACGGATTACTATGTGAAGGTGTGTTTATCTGCTAAACTCACATATGCAAAAGAAATGAAGCATCTTTACTTCTGCTTCCTTAAACTCGCCTGATCGCCCCTGGAAGCCCTCATTCCTGAGGACGTGGGGAACAGAAACAGAAACCTGACAAGGTTATGTGACCGGTTACTTCCACAGTTTGAGGTCGATCCTCAGTGAGCTACTACTACACCAGCTTTTGTGGGCACAAGAGAGGAATCAATCCTATCTGCTGTTCCAGGAATGGGCAGCAAAGCATCTTGGGCTTTGGCAGATCTGGGCTCAAGTTTGGCTCCACTCCTTATCACCTACATGATCCCTGACAAGATACTGCATTTCTATCTCAGTTTCCCCATCTGTAAAGTGGGAATAACAAAACCAGCCATCAGTATTATGCAGATTAAATGGGATAATGAATTGATAGTGCTTCTCAGAGTTACAGTACCCAGTAAAGCATATTTCAGTGGTGCCCACTATGATTATTGTAATTGTTATCTTTCTTTAAAATGGAGAAGTTTAGAGAGTATAAGAAACTGGGTTAATGCTGTTAAACCTTTGCTCATTCAATTGTTTTTTTCCTTTGTCCAGAAAACCCAGAATTTTATGTGTTATCTAGAGAAATATAAATGTGAATGACCTGGCCTGATTTAGGTACATTAAAAAATGAATTTTATTCAACCTGAGAAAGCTGATTGTTTTTTTAATGAAGTTTTAAAGGTGAGCGTAGTGTGGTCACTTTCCTGAACAGAGGAGTACCTTTTGTATCATGCCTGTTACTGGACACAAGTTCCCAGAAGCACCTGATTATCTCATAGTACAACACCTACTCGTTATTTACTTTTCCAGGTAATTTGGTGTTTTGAAAGCATCCTATAATCTTAGGCCCCATTAAAAACAAAAAAAACTGCCCTCTGAATGATGCTATGAAAAAATTATATCACCGATGCCTTTTCCCCGTGATATTATGAGCAGTGTTTTACATTTCAGTATTTGTACATTTCATCAATCAGTACTAAGTTATGTTACCTCTTAAAAAACGTCAGCATGGTTTCATGAGTTGGAATTGTCATAATCTTGTGGTTTAGTTGCAAGAAGACCCAAAAAAGTATCGTTTTCAGAAGACGGAATTCACTAAAGGTAAACAACCTGGCCAAAATAAAAAGATTGAGAAGAAATTTTAGAAATAGCACAAAATCATGCTGCTTGTAAGAAAATGGTTAGAATGAGTTTGAGAATGAGGTGACACCACCCTTGATTCTGAAGGTAGCCTCAGACTTTAAGCAGTTAAACAGCTTGCTCAAGGACCCTCAACTGGGAAATGGCAGAACTAGGATTTGAATCTCAGCAGCCTGGCACTGGGGCCAGTGTTTTCACCCACCCTCTGTGTCCCTGCAAAACAATGATCAGCATTTAATGGGCTCTTACTATGTGCCAGGTGTTCCCAAGATGTTTTCCGTAGATTCTTTCATTTAATTCCACACAACCATCCTGCAAAGTCGGGATATAGTCCTTACTTTTATGGATGTAGAAATTGCAATTAACCCTAAGTTTATTTGAAATTTTAGTATTTTGTTCATCATGGCATTATTGCATCAATTTTAATTCTAATATATTACACTAAAATATACTACATCTTGATGACTAAGTTTTTTTGGTGCTCCCTTAAATTTTGCACCAAGGCGAATGCCTCACTTGCTCCATCTCAGTTCTGGCCATGATTGAGGGCTGAACCCTCAGTAACTTATCCAAGGTCACACAATTCTGGGCTCAGACCTGGGTACAGGCCAGGTTAGAATCTCAGTTCCTCGCCAAACTGCCTGCGGAACCTCCTGAGAGCTGCGTTACCGCCCTGCAGCTGCAAAGTCCTCATCTGTGAAAGTGTGATCACAGCAGCTGCTCAGAGGACAGTGGTACAGAGGGGATGAGGTGAGTGGCCGAGTTTCCTATCGCTCCCGTAACAAACTGTCATAAACCAAGTGGTTCAAAACAACACGAATTTATTTTCTCCTCATTCTGGAGGTCAGAAATACCAAACGAGGTAAGATCAGTTTGTCAGCAGGGCTATATTCCTTTCAGAGGCTCAAGGGAGAATTGTTTCCTTGCCTTTTCCAACACCTAGAAGCCACCCACATTCCTTTGCTTGTGGCCCCTTTCTCAGTCTTTAAGTCAGCAGTTCAGCATCTTCAAATCTTTCTATGGTTCTGACTCTTTGGCCTCCTTCTTCACATTTACAAGGTCCTGGTGATCATGCTGGGCCCACCCAGATCATCCAGAATAAGCTCCTCATTTTAAAGCAAGCTGGTATTATTCACAATAGCAAAGACATGGAATCAACCTAGGTGCCCCTCAGTAGTGGACTGGGTAAAAAAATTTGTGGTACATATACACCATAAAATACTATACAGGCATAAAAAAGAAGGAAGGCATGTCCTTTGTAGCAACATGGGTAAAGCTGGAGGCCATTATCCTAAGCAAATTGACACAAGAATAGAAAACTAAATACTGCATATTCTCACTTATGCATGGGAGCTTAAACATTGAATACACATGGACACAAATAAAGACCTACTTGATGGTAGTGGGTAGGAAGAGGGTAAGGATTGAAAAACTATGTATAGGGTGGTATTATTCTGTTCTTTAATTTCTATAAGGAAATATCTAAGACTGGATAATTTGTAATGAAAAGAGGTTTAATTGGCCCACAGTTCCATGGACTGTACAGGAAGCACAATGCTGGCATCTGCTTGGCTTCTAGAGAGGCCTCAGGAAACTTACGATTTTGGCATAAGGTAAAGTGGGAGGAGGATGTCACACAGCTAGAGCAAGAGCAGGAGAGCAAGGCAGGAGGTGCCACACGCTTTTAAATGAGCAGATCTCAAGTGAACTCACTCACTATCAGGAGAACAGCACTAGGAGGATGGTGCTAAGCCCCATTAGTGAGAAATCTACTCCCATGATTCAGTCATCTCTCATCAGGCCTCACCTCCAACACTGGGGATTACAATTCAACATGAGATTTGGTGGGGACACACATCCAAACTATATCAAGGATACTGTGCTAATTACCTGGGTGACAAAATTATCTGTACACCAAATCCCTGTGGCATGCAATTTACTCATGTAACAACCTGCGCATGTACCCCTGAACCCAAAATAGAAGTTGGAAAGAAGGGCCAGCCACAGTGGTTCACACCTATAATCCCAGCACTTTGGGATGCTGAGGTGGGTGGATCATGAGGTCAGGTTGGTGGATCATGAAGTCAGGTGTTCAGGACCAGCCTGGCCAAGATGGTGAAATCCCGTTTCAACTAAAAATACAAAAATTAGCTGGGTATGGTGGCAGACCCCTATAATCGCAGATACTCAGGAGGCTGAGGCAGAGAATCGCTTGAACCTGGGAGGCGGAGGTTGCAGTGAGCCAAGATTGCGCCATTGCACTCCAATCTGGGCGACAGAGTGAGACTCCATCTCCAAAAAAAAAAAAAAAAAAAAAAAAAAAAGTTGGAAAGAAAGAAAAGAATCAGCTGATTAGTGACCTCAGTTCCCTCTGCAGCCTTAGTTTCCTTTGCCATACAACCTAAGATATTCATGGGTTCCAGAGAGTGGGATGTGGACATCTGTGGGGCCATCATTGTAATGGCTGCACACGTACAAAGTGCTTAGTACAGTGCCTGGCACATCATGACACGCTCAGCGGCTGGAAGCTCTTATGCATACGTGGCAGGGTCAGGTCCCAGCTCCAGAGCCCATGCAGTGCCTGCTGCAGCATAGGCCTCTCCTCCATAAATGAGCATTGCCAAAGAATAGCTGCTACCCCATAATGGCAGCTCTGTAAGTGTGACTGTTTCCCAAACCCCTTCTCTAGCAGCCTCTGACAGTTATCTTTGGAGCTATTTCAACACTTCTTAAACCCATTAATATTTTCAGCCTCTGACCATGGACATAGCACCCTGGCCTTAAAATATGTCACCACTTCTTCATTCAACCACTGTCTGTGGTTATGCTGGGTTGCACGAAAGACAAATCATGACTCTAAAGGATACTGGAAATGTCACCCACCTCTCATGCTATTTCTGAACAGAGTAAAACTGTCTCTGTCCTCTCATTTGGTTTTCAGACCACCTACAAATGCATGGACTTTGACTCCGGCCAGACAGGACCAAGTTTGTCACCATCTGGGCAATCATCGTGAGGCAGGAAGGGGACACTCTCTGCAGGGTCACTTGGTATGATGTCCTCATGAAGAACTTTGTCAACAGGGCTGGCGAAATGGAGTGACTTCCAATGGAAACCCCACACCTGAGGTCTTCAAGCCCAGAATGTCCTTTGAGATCTTACTAAAGAGGAGCTAGCAGCAACATGGGGGAGTCCTTGGGAGCTCCATGAATCAGAATCCTGGTTCTATTATTTATGAAGGATAATTATTAAAGTAAATTCCTCTGTCTTTAGGTCAATATCAGACCTGAAAGTATTTGTTTCTGCAACAGATAACCACACCAAAGACATTCATACACCTTTTTCTTTACCTAAGAGCTCTGATGGCCTCAGTCAAGACAGAACTCACAAGGGCTTGAACCTCCCTCCCTGGGCTGTACCTTGTGTGTTTACTGGCACTCGCAAGCAGCCATTGGAATGTAACTCATATTTGTTCTTTAGGAGAGAAAAAACAATGCTTTTCATAAGACACTTTCCTCTATTTTTTACTGAGAAAATTATATATAAACAATAAAGGCTATCTTGTGCATATAGACCATAGAGAAAGCCATGACCATGTGAGTAAGATATGAACAAGGATGCCCACTGCTGCATCACTTGTCTTGGCAAACAAACAAACAAAATAAAACAAAAGGCCATTAGGAAGGGAATGAAAAGAGATCACTGTGCATTCATCCAATAGAACCATGTACAATTAAAAGTTAAAATGCTAATCAGATATGTACATATCAACATGGAGAGAACACAACACACGATGTAAGTGAATAAGCTGCAGAATGTTGCAATCACGATGAGAACATGTATTTCAAGTTTAAATCTTTTAAGCCAGTATTATTTATGTGGCAAGAGTAAAATCAAGTAGATTAAATCTGCACAAGTTCCTAACAGTGGTTTAATTGTCTTTAGGAGGGGAAGGAGGCAGAAAATGAGGCAGGGAATGGGACTGGGAGGGGCACATGGGTGACTTTTGCTTCACTGGAAATGTTTGATGTCTCAATTTAAGACAAAATACTAATATTCGTTCATTTGGGGAGATGAGTACAACCGCATTTTGTATTATCATCCTACTTTTATACTTTTTTACAGTAAAAATGATATCAATATTCTTATTGTTCTTGACCGTCAGTAAGGAAAATGAAGGCCTCATGCAGAGCACATCAGTGGGCTGGTAATGACCTGGGCTTTAAGCCACTCAGATGTGGGTTCAAACCCCCACTCCCATGTTGCATGGAGAGACGGTCAGCTGATCCCGTCATTTCCTATAACCTCTATCCCACGGGCAAGAAATGCCAATAATGGTATCCACCTCATTAGGTTGCTATAGGAATCAGTCTGGATAACGCCACCCAGAGTGTTCTGTATACAACTAGTGCTTAATAATTGGTGGGTATTGTTAGTATTAGCTAAAGAAGCATTGGGTTCAGGGACTATTACATTTGAGATAGGTGCCCAGAGGTGTCCCAGACACCCATGGGAACCTTGTCCCATGCTGAAGGGCAGGTTGTGGAACAAATGTGACAAGGAGGACATGCATAGCTCTTCTTGGGGAATTCTTGAGACCCCGAGACTTCTCGGGTTATAGATGGGAAGTCAGGGAGAATTGGAAACACAGGAGGCAGTGCTGCCAGTTGCAAGGTCATCTTTTGTTGAGATGCTAGCTGGACAGTGCTCTGAGGTCTCTAACCTCCTAAGTCTGCGAGGAGCTTGGCTTCCAGGAAAACAACTTGGAATGAAAGTTTCTCAATATTAGAGTTAGTAGAACAGGGTAACCCAGCAGTGACCTCTACGAAGAAAATTAACTGAAAACCAAATGTCAGGCAATTAAATTAAAACCAGAGGCCCCAGAGGTTAGAAAAACTGTAGCCTGTTTTACCCCAGGTGGTTTACACGATGGAAAACAAAACCTGAAGGAAGATGAGCTCGAGGGACTTTGGATGGAGACAGCCAAATGGCCCAGAAGCTGCAGCCTCTGCTTAAAAAAAAAAAATGGACGTTGTTCCAAACACCTGTGACCACAAACTGGGGGACTAGCCCCACGACTGGAGGGGCAGATAAGTCCGGCCAAAGGCCACTCCATCCCTGACGTTGGAGTCTGCATTTCCATGCATCCCACTCTGGGGCCACGTGGCTCCTTGGGACCATCAGTTCTCGCTACGTCCTTTCAGTTGCTGGTAACCTTGGCCTCTGTGACCAACGATGAGGGGTGCAGCACACAGGGCAAGATGCTGACTTTGGAGCCAGTGGAGGCCCTGCCCTGCCCATCATTAGCCCTCTTATATCAGGGATAACAACTGTGCTCGCCACAGGGGGTGGTGAGTCTAGAAAGGGACAGCATACACAGCACACAGCACACACGGCAATGTTAGCTCGAGAAAGATGCATTCTGAATCAGCTGTGGACCATGGTGCCAAATCCATGAGCCAGCAGCCTGAAACTCACAAGCACCCTAATATGAGAAGGCCTAGCAGGTGAAACTCCTAACAAGCCTCCTTCTTCCTGAACCCTGTCTCCCACCTTCCTCAAACTTTAATGCAGGCAGCCACTAGAGATCAACCTCAGATGTGAGCAGAGCCTGGGGAGCGGTCAGCCTGGGCACGTGGCTGATGACAGGCCTGAAGCCACACAGGGCTCTTCCCCCTTCAGTGATAGCCCTGGACTGTCTGTTCAGACAGCTCCTGGGGAGGGGCCAGAGGAGCAGGACCCATTTTCCACATCAGTCATGTCTGCCAGGTTGGTGAGTCTAGACACTTGACACGTAATGCTCTTGACCTCTTTTCCTGCCCAGCGTGCGTTTGTCAGGCTTATCCCACCACTAACGTTCTGGTTGTGGTCAGACATTTTTTCTTTTTAACCAAGTTAACGCTGCCAGGGTGTGACAGCTCAGCCTTTCCAAGGGAGGGACAATGTTATGAAAACTCTAAGAGATGCCATGTTTATCTTCTCTTCAACAATGACGCAACCTTGTTCCCCTGGGGAGTAGGGGGGCACCTGAGTGAGGGAAAGCAGAGAACACCACGGAATGACTTTAGGAGTGTGCCCAATGCCCTGGGCTGGCCTGAAGCTGGGGCTCCTGGGGGCTTCCCAGAGAATAGGGTCTCCTTCCCCCCGTCCCAGAACTCCGTTCTACCTGCCTCGCATCTCTGCAAACGTCAGGACATTACATGCTAACGTAGCCACTTCAAACCAACAGTAGAATAAATCTTTCCAAATCTAACTTCCGAAAGCGGAACACTTTCCACACATGATTAAACACTCATTTTCTAATATTCTACTAGGATTTTCAGCAGAATGTAGTTTTCACTTTTGAAATTTCCTCAAAGGTAATAAAATTTTGGTAACTTGGAAATGAGTACCAAGATCTTTTTGAATAAAGTCCTAAAAAGAGATGACAACTAAGTGGTCCTAAACAGAATCCTGCATTGGAGAAAAAAAAACGCTATGAAAGACAGTATTGTGCAAGTGACATTCAAGTATGACATCAATGTAAACTTTTTCGAGTTGATAACTGCACTATATTTGTATTTTCAAAAAAATTCTTCTTCTTAGGAAATAAACACTGAAGCATGTGGAGTAAAGGACCTTCATAAATGTGACTTACCCCAAATATTAACAGTTCAGAAAAAAACAAGTATATATACAGATAAAGGCAGAGATGCAGATGACGGAGCCAGCGGGGCCGAAATTGAACTCTAGCGTGATCGACGGTACAGGGTGCATACAATCTATGCATTATTCTTGCAACTTTTCTGTAAGTTTGGAAATTATTTTCAAATACAAATGTTTCAGACACAAATATAAAATAGAAAGTTCTTTTGACTTAGTCATTTCACTTCTGGGAATTCAATGTGGGGAAAGAATCTGAGATGAAGATACATGTTGAAGGATGTTCGCCAGTGTGCTATTTGTATTGGTAAAACACTGGAAATAACCTAAAAAGCCTGGCATGGGGGAATATCTCCAGGGAGAAGGAGAGATGGCAGGGGACAGGCATTTCAGGCAGGAGGATGGGCATGAACTGGGGCCCGGTATGGGGAGGTGTTCAGCAGGGAAGTTTCAGGAGATCCCCGTGGCTGCACTCATGCTGTGTGAGATGAAAGAGCCAGGTCCAGAGGCAAAGGCCGTTGGCTAGAGATGAGATTAGAAGCGGGTCCAGACCAGAAGCCAAACAGTTAGAGGTCATCTTGGTCTAAATAAGAGACATTGGAGCTCCGGTCTTGGGCTGGGGCTGCTGCCAGTGGAGAGAGGTCCATAGCACTGGACTTGATTTGGAAGTAGAAATGACCCCAGGGTCAGGGTGCAGTGAAAGTGGTGTCCAGGACTCTCAAGGCTCTAGCTTGATGTGCTAGTCAGATGGTGGAGGAACACTGGGGGCAGGCTTGGGTGTAGGAAAGGTCAGGGGCACTGAGAGTTGGGTTTTAACTCTAATTGCCAGAGAGGTCAAGCAGGTCAGACATGTGTGTCTAGAATTATTCAGCAGAGGAGTTAGGGCTGGTGATGTAAACCGATTCAGGGCGAGAGATTTTATTTTCTATAATGAATGTGCATTAATGTTGTCAGGATTTTTTCTAAAAATTACTTAGGTAATTAAGTCTTTCATTTTTCGTATACAGGCAAGTAATGAGACAACAGGGACTCAGAGGGTCCCTACCCACAAGGAGTGTGAAGGTAGCCCTGTCCCCAACCCCGCACACAGCACCCTGAGTTCCAGCCCCAGCCGAGGCCCAACTGTCCAGGAGGCCAGGACGCTTAAGGCGTGGGTGCAGCCTCCCCCAGAGCCCCTCCCCCGCAGGTTGGCCCCCACTTTCTCCCAAGCTCCTCTCAAGGCCCGCAGCCTGGGAGCCAGCTCTCACCTGGGAGACTTCAGCACTTTGTGGAGCAGGTCCTGCGGGATTCTGCGGAGGTGGACCTGTGTCCCCAGTAGAGGAACCAAGTTCATTTCCAGCCACTTCTCACAGGCCGTGGTGAGCTGCTCTTCCTTGTACTAAGACAAGAAAAGCCAGTTAATGAAGGAAGTCCTGAACTCTTGGCACCCTCTGCTGGCCTGCAAGGACACTACATGTGTGCTCAGAGGGACAGTCACTGCAGACACACTCAAACATTTTCTACAAAATACGTGAATGACAGCGGATACCGTTTTCAAAGTGTCTTCTACGCTGGAGCTGTTGCACTTGGTTGATTGAAATCAATCCTCACTGAAAACCTATGAGATGGATTCGCAGTCTTCCCTATGTTACTAATGGGGAAACATACTCCCAGGTCCCTGCTCTTGCCTGTGTTACGAGTCACACAACTCGTAAGTGGCAGAGCCGGATGCGAACCCACCGTAGGCCTTGCACGCTGGCCCAAGTCAGTGGCTGATCATGGAGGGCTCAGGGGGTGTGCCTGAGGGAGCTCTGAGGCTACGATGTGAACACACCCAAAAAGCAAGAATTAAAGGGCAGGGGAAGTAGAAAATGCTCCCCCCAGGGACCCTGAGAGAGTCTTAGCACTCCTCGAATAGCTTCAGGGCCTCGGGTGCTTCTGCAGCCCAAGAGTTGCTGAGAAATGCTGACCAGAATGCAGATGCCTTGGAATTGCCAGGGGGGTGAAGGGGAGGACGTGACAATAGGAAACTGTGGCATGCTGACTGGTAACCCCCCAGGTCATTGATGGCCACACAGGGGGAGCTGGAGTCAGGAGGCCTGGGGTTTGGACCCCGCTGGTTTCCCCAGGCACTGAGGCTGCTGCCCTCCTTGGCTCTGTTTTCTCCTCTGAGAATGAGCATTGGGCTCTATCATTTATTCCTAACTCTGGCACACTGACTAGACCCAGGTGGGTCCAGACCTCGCAGCTCCAGCAAGAACATCCTGGAAGCCCTTCTGCTGTTTCAGTGAGAAAGGCTCTGCTGCTTCTTCCCTACCTCAGATTAAAGTCTCTCTACTTTTTTGATGTTAAAACATCCTTTTAAAAATAAAAAGTCTTTTTTAAAACAAATGTGTTCATGTGGCAAAATAAAATATATGGTGACATCAAATAGATATTCTGGGGGGAACTTGGCCTGGTGGGTGAAATCCCAGCATCTGGGCTGCTCCTGAAGGCCCCCCCGCCACGGGCCACGTGCCCTATCCGGATTGTTCTCACCTTGCAGCCAGCCTCGTAGAATTTCCTGATGGTGATTGGCGTGAGACCGGCCATCATCATGTCCATGCACCTACAGAGAGAACTGCAGTTTCTGGAGGAGCCCCATGCAGCTTTTGGAGAAGCGAGAAGTCCCAGAGGTTCTTTTTTTTCTTGTTTCTTTTTAGTATACTTTAAGTTCTGGGGTATACGTACGGAACGTGCAGGTTACATAGGTATGCATGTGCCATGGTGGCTGGCTACATCCCTCACCCCGTCATCTACATTAGGTATTTCTCCTAATGCTATCCCTCCCCTATCCCCCCACTCCCTGGTATACCTCCCCTAGCCCCCCAACCCCCAACAGGCCCCAGTGTGTGATGTTCCCCTCCCTGTGTCCATGTGTTCTCACTGTTCAATACCCACTTATGAGTGAGAACATGTGGTGTTTGGTTTTCTGTTCTTGTGTCAGTTTGCTGAGAATGATGGTTTCCAGCTTTACCCATGTCCCTGCCAAGGACATGAACTCATCCTTTTTTATGACTGCATAGTATTCCATGGTGTATATGTGCCACATTTTCTTTATCCAGTCTATCATTGATGGGCATTTGGGTTGGTTTCAAGTCTTTGCTATTGCAAACAGTGACGTAATAAACATACGTGTGTATGTGTCTTTATAGAAAAATGATTTATAGTCCCTTGGGTATATACTGCGTAATGGGATTGCTGGGTCAAATGATATTTCTATTTCTAGATCCTCAAAGAATCTATCTTCCACACTATCTTCCACAATGGTTGAACTAATTTACACTCCCAACAACAGTATAAAAGCAGCAGAGATCTTTCACATGGAAGGGAGCCTTGCTTTAGCGATATGGACAATTGGCCAGAGGACAAGACCAGCATGGCTTGTTAGAAATAGCTCTGGGCTGGGAGATGAGGCCAGAGATCAAATCCTTCAGGAGAAAGCAAAACAAAAACCCTATAGCAAGTAACAAGGATTACTGCTCAAAGCTGAAGTGCCACCAGGTGCTGAGTTAAGATTCGATTTTAGCCGACTTGGCCCTCTGGTCACCCCCTTCCTGAGGACTGTCTTCCTGTACAGAGCCTTATGGTGCCACCAGAGGGGCCTCAAGCCCCTTTCCACTCTGTGCACAAATGGAATCAAAGAGAAGCTTTCAGATGAAAGTCTCTGTGTGCTTATGACTAGGACCCGTTGATTTGGCTCACCCAGCCATAAAGGATCTATTCACTGAGCACGTATTAGGTGCTAGGCACCCAGCGAGGTCCTTGTTGTGCAAAAAACAAAACTGATGGGCCAGTGAGGTGACATGTTAAGTCAACTTTCAGACAGATAACCACATTTAACAGTTATGTTAAGGGTTAAAAAGTTAACGAACAGGTGCTGAGAAGGCAGAAAATGGGGAATTCAGCCTAGTGTGGTCAAATCAGAAAAGTGATCAGACATCAGAAGAATGGCATTTAAAACCTGAAAGAGGCAGACAAAGCATTGGTCAGGCCAGGGATTGGAAGACCAGCATTCCAAGAAGAGGAAACAGCATGTGCAAAGCTCCTGGGGCAGGAGCAGGTGCCACGCTTTGAGGGGATGTCAGGGCTGGCATAGCTGCAGGGCAGTGAGTTTGACACTGCTCCACACTGCCCCCACTGTCTCCCTCTTTAACTACAGTAATTCGTCTGGGCCCAGTTCCAGCACCACTTCCTCTTGAAAGTCTCCCTGATTGCTCCTCTCCACATACCCCCTTAGCTTTGATTTCCATGACTTCCTTCTTCTACCTGGTTCCTTGCTTCCCTCCAAGAAGGGCATGGGCCGGGGTGGAGTGTGGCTGACGTGCTACGTGGCAGTTAGTGTCATAGACGTTTCAGTGACTGAACTTTCACAGCTAATATTAACCTCTCTTCAGCAAAATTGCTTCAAAGGATGTTCATTCATTGAACAGGACACCAGAGAATAGCCACTGGGATCTCATATTGAAGCATCACTTTGAACTCATTATCACTCAATGGTTGTCCTGAGCTCAGTGGAGATACATACTGCTCACAGGCAGAGGCTTAAAGGACATCTAGTACCTTCTGCACTTATTATAAAATGTATCCTTCAAGAGGCCAGACCAGAAGGCAGCTGGGGTCTCGTTGCCACCAACAACCACATCCCTGAAGGGCAGCTTTTACTGAGTTGCATTTTGGTGTTCTGCTTTTGCCAATATCAGGGAAAAAACATTACAAGGTTTATTGTTCTATTTACGGATATTCTATGGATATTGTTGAGGACATCGATCATTAGGTTGTTTGGGGTCATCTGCTAAAGACATCCACAGTTTTAATACTAACAGTAGCTGTACTTCTCCCAAGAGTTTTTTTTTTTTTTTTTTTTTTTTTTTTATTTTAAAGAGACGGGGGTCTTACTATGTTGCCCAGGCTGGAGTGAAATGGCTATTCACAGGTGCGATCCCACTACTGATCAGCATGGGAGTTTTGACCTGCTCTGTTTCCGACCTGGGCAGGCTCACCCCTCCTTAGGCAACCTGGTGGTCCCCTGCTCCTGGGAGGTCACCATACTGATGTCGAACGTAGTGCAGACACCCGATTGGCATAATGTACTAAAGCCCAGAACTCCTGGGCTCAAGCGATCCTCCCACCACAGCCTCCTGAGTAGCTGGGACTACAGGCATGCGCCACCGCGCCTGGCCAAGTGATTTGTTTTTTAAACTTTTAACTAGTTTTTATTTTTATCTCATGTCGCTGATCAAGTTTCCCTTTTTATCTGCTGCTAGCAAGTCCAGAGCTGGACATGTGGCCCATTTAAGGAAGAGCGTGGGTTATTAGAGTTAGCATACAATTTTAGCCTTTCCATCTTTTTCTTTCTCCTTAAAAAAATAATAACTTGGTGTTCTGTTGCCTTATTTCATGTATTCATGGAAGCCACTCAAAGCCTTTACTAGAAGAAGTTAAGAAACGATCAATTAATAAGTAATCTGGTCAGGACCAAGGCACTTGACTCCCTTGTGTGCTAGGATTGGCCCTTCAAACCATGAGACCGACTCTATCCATGAGAAGGTGTCTTGAGTATTGGGGAAGCCTGTGCTAAGGAAACATGGGGCGCTGCTGTCATCTCCTGGGCATTTTGGCTTCTAGGACTGCTGGGTCCTGTCAATCCTGCACCTTGGCTATCTCTTGAGCCTACTGTCCTCCTGCTCCCATTTCCCCTGCCTCCTTCAGACCCTCCTGGTCTCTCAGCTGAGCCTCGGCATAGCCTCTCAACAGCTGGCCTCCCTGCCCTGCAGCCACTCCACATCCTTCACACAGTAGGGGCTCAGCCTCAACTGCAGAGACCCTGCCACTCTCCCCTCCCACGCCCAGGCTCCCCGCTCTGCTGACTGACCGAGACCTACTCATGTGGCAACAAGGTCCTGCATGACCTGGGCTCACCCAAACCTCCAGCCAGCGAAGTTGCATTGGGTCTTAGTGGCCAGGCCCATCCCAGTTTGCTGCTGTTCTGCCCTGTGCCCTCTCTCTCCCCCTTTGACTGCTATAATTCTTCCAAGCTCAGCTCCAGCACAACCTCCTCTTGGAAGCCACCCTGATTGCTCCTCCCCACATACTGCCTTAGTTTTGATTTCCATGCCTTCTTCTACCTGGTTCCTTGCCTCCCTCCATCTCCTGTGAAACGACAGACTGCCAGGTAGCAGCCTTCCCCATCAAATCCATTCTGAGTGCCAGCTCTGTGCTGACCTGTGCTGCTGGTTCTGGAAATGCCACCAGGGACAGATGGAAGCCCTTTCCTCCTGGAGCACATGGCCTCACCAGTCAGCAGAGGGTGAAGCCCAAGGTGTGACAAGGCTGAACAGGAGGCTCCGGCCCCACCCTCATGGGGCACAGGAGCCTTTAGGTGCCAGCTTTTATCTGTCAAAACCTACAGGGAGCACTAGCTGGGCTTGGAGTTGCCAGGGAGAAATGAATGCCCCAGAAGGCTGGCACCTTCTCTTATGCTTCCTCTTCTACACTGTCAAACCCATTGGCTGGACTGGACTGGAATGATCAGATTTCCCAGACCAAAAGAAGCAAAGAAAGCCACCCAGGCTCACCTCTGGCTCAGGCAGGTGGGGGGGTTGCCATTTCCAGAAATTCTAAAGGACCAGGCAATTGCGCACAGAGGAAGTTCAGCCCTGCGTGGAGGCAAGGAAATGCTCTTCTGGGCCTGTGAGCCTGGAGGAACCCAAGTGACAACTAGGGAGGTGCTCCATGTGTCTGTGTGTGAGCATATGTGTGCATACACATACGTGCACATATGTGCTGGTACATACATGTGACAGCCATAACCCCAGCTGTGACTCTAGCCCAAGTGCCAATGAAGATATTGACATGAGAGTCAAAGGAACATCATCCAGTGGAAGCTGTTTGCACACACTGCATCCCTTAAAGACGGGAGGCCTCGGGTATGTGTGATTCAGAATTAAGCAGTCATCTGGTGATTTCCTCACTGCCTGGGAGCTCAGCTGAGATAACCTGTGAGGTCTCATTCAGTACCTGAACATTGTGAAGCTATCAGAGTGACCTGGGGCACTTCTGTTACACATACACACACACACACACACACACACACACACACACACACACACACACACATACACAGACCCTATGGTGCCACACCCTGCCAACTGCACCATCAGCCTCTCAAAGGCAGGCAAGACCCAGCCCAGCTGTGTGCAGGCCCGCCCTGACCTCTGCCCTAGAATCCCAGCCCCACCACAATTATCTGGAGAATCTTGGGCAGGTCCCATCAACTTCAGGCAAGCCTGTGTTTGCTCATCAGTGGAATGAAAGGTTTGGCTCAGGATCCGCAAAGCCCTTCCTGCTCTGGCATTCAAAACAAGGCAGTGGGAGGGGAAAGGAGAATGAAGAACCTGCCATTCTTGGTTCATCTCTGGATCAGCCGGGGGGAGAGTTCTGAAAGCTAGATGCGGCTTCCAGTCTGCTCCTAAGGTAGGGCAGCTGAGGCTTGGAGACAGAAAGTGGCCAGAGGCCCCACTTCAAGAGGGAAGCTGCTCTTCCAGCATTCAGGCCAGAGATACCTTCCTGGACCGCACCAGAAGACAGCTGCTCAGAAATTCTCTGTGTAAAGGAGCTATGATTTCCTAGTTATATATCACAAGGCTATGCTGGGCTGACAGTGAGTGATACATACAATGGAAGGGGCATGAGAAATCTCAGGAAAACCTGGACTTTTCACCCCGCCACCTTCAGGTCAAGGCCAGATTCCTTAGATGGCTCTAAAAGGCTATACCAGTTGGCTCTGCCTGCAACTACTCACCTCCCATCTGCCATAGCCACCTAACCCCACAGTCTGACTGTGCCAAACACACTGGAGTGCCTCTTCAAGACTCTAGGCCCCTCCTCAATGCCTGTCCTCTGCAGAGAGGTCCAGGCACCTGCATTCCCAACAACGCTGCCAGATGCCCCAGATCAAAGGCCCGGCCCCAGTCATTTCAGGATTCCCAGAATGAGGCACCAGCTCAAAAACGTTCGTGGGATTGAATCTGACTGTGTGAACTCTACAAAAAAATGAATCGAAACCTGTAAGATCCCCAGGAGAAATCCGTCTCTTCCCTCTGCAGAGCAGCTAATGTCTTCTCTTGGTGTAGATGGAATATTCATTCATTCCTTCATCCACTCAGATAAAGAGACTGAGGTTTAAGAAGTAAACAAACCAGGCAGACCATCTCCTGCCCTGATCTCTTCTTTATATTGAATTGCATCAGGAATCAGGAAAAAAAGCTACAAGATACCACCTCTGTCTTCAGGACATCAAGCCAGTAGGCACACATCCCTGAAAAAGCCCAGAAGAAGAAAAAATATTCTAGAGAAGTGAATCCCATGAATGATTTTCCACTTGGTTCACTTACCCTTTCATAAACATTCACGGAATGGAGGAATATTATGGGATATACAAAAAAGGATGGGAAGTTCCAAGAAATGCTCTTTCTAATTACAGATACTAATTTTACTTGAACTTAATAATACATAGCACAACACTTTCCATTTAGGAATTCCCAAACTTCATTCCATTCACCTTTATTCACTTCCGGTGTCTTGGAGACTGCTGGACAGGGGACTTTAGAGGGCAGGGATCCTGCCCATCTGGTCCCTCACTGTCTCCTTGGCCTCCCAGAGAAGCCCAAGAAATTGTCCTTGAAGCAGGTGAATGAATGAATGTAGGTGTGAGTGAATAACTTGACAAGTGAGTGACCCTGAGCAAAACGCTCCTGACTCAATGCCATTGAAGGGAGGGTCAGAACCACAAATGAGCAAATGACGACATTACCACCTCACCCAAAGTGCAAAGTGGAATAGCACAGTGTTAGATGTGCAGGTTCCAGAGCCCCTCGACCTTCGAGTCCTGGCTTCCCTACTTGGCCACTATGTAGCCTCGGGCAAGTTACTTACTTCCCAACACCCCAGTTTTCTCAACTGTAAAATGACCATAGTAATAGTCCTGCCTCCTAGGGTTGCAGGGAAGATGAAATGAGGTCATCCCTGCAAAGAGCTGAGAACTGAAAGGCAAACAAACACTCCATCCCAAAGCCCTATGTGCTGACATCTCCTAATCCCCAGCAAAGTCCTGGGAAGTAGATAGGACAAATAGTTTGAACCACATTTTATGTCGGAGACAGCCAAGGTACATAGAGACTAAAGGGCACCTTATTCAGAACTGAGCACAGACCCTGCATGGACCCAGGTTGCTTTTGACTTTGTAGGAAAAGCCCAGTGCAGACTGGGATCTCTGGCCCTCACTCCTCCAGGGTGCATTTCCACGGCTGCTTGAAAGCAGGCAGAAACACCAAGCAATGTCTGTTACCCTCTCACGCTCATTATTTCTGCATCCATGAGCCCAGGCAACCTTTGTCAGGATGAGGAAACGTTCATGTTCAATGCCAACCCACTTTGAATGCCTCCTGGTTCCCCGCCACCTCTTCTCCACACCCCCGACACACCCTGATGAACCCTCCTGCTTGGCAGCCTAGGTGGGCCAGTGGGGCCTGAATGTCAAAAAGAGAGGCTGTGCCTCACATGGGCAGGGGTGATTTTGGGGCTAACTTTGATCTTTGCATTTTCCTCTCTTCCAAAAGAACTATAATATGTAACATTTATAACAATAAAAATATTATTTACAAGAAAAAACAAGACTTTATCTCAAATGAGCAGGAAAAATGAGGACTGACAGTGATGGAAAAGTCAGCTTGTCCTCCAATGGCCAGCCTCTGTGTATGTGTTTGACTCAAAGGAGACTGATTTCTTTTTTAGCCAACAATGAAAAGAGGTGAAATTGATAAGCAAGCCTGGTTTGAGGGCTACTAGGAAGTCACTGCGTATATGCACAAAGTCTCTCCCCCTGGTAGAAATCCTCCCATTTGCATTTCGTTCCTGTGAATCGAGAATTGAGTATCATTTGGTTAAAATTAGTATGTTGCTAGTGTGAATTAGTGTCTCAGTTTTTTTTCAGGCTCAAGGCCATGCTTGGCATAAAGACACCCGAGACGTCTCAGCCCAGTGAAGAGGAATGTTCTACCAAATGGACCAGGAATTGTCCTTCGATTCCCCAAGGCCTGGCCCTGCCCAAAGTCAGCCTTGTTTCCTTACCTTTGAAACAGGCCATCGAACTGGAGGATGTGGGCGGAAGCCAGGACCCCCAGCACGTCGTCCAAGTGAATCTCCACCTCGCTCATGTAGAGGCTCTTCAGGGCCGTGGCAAAGGCTGGGGAGGCACAGCCAAAAGGGCCATCAGTGTGGGGCTCTGCACAGAGGACGCCACCCGGGGCCCTCCCTCACTTCTGCAGCTGGGAGGGCAGAGGGGTCCTTAAAGAAAATGCACCATCTCTGACCCAGATGCAGGCACTGCGTGGAAGCTGACCATCTGCGCTACCAGCCTTTCCAAAGGAGCTGAGAGTAAAGCTAAAGAAAGCTGAGCTTCTGCTGAAAGGATCCTCTCTTAAGCCTGCTCTCAGCGGTGAGACCATCTTGGGGCTCTCTAACCTGGGGTCTGTGGCCTGTGCAAGAATGTAACTGCCCAAATAGGTACAGAATGTCATGTGCAGGTAGTGCCTTTTTTGGGAGGCTGCAGAGACAGCATATTCTCCTTAGAGTCTGGGGACTTCCAAAAGGTTAAAGACTTCTTAGAAAGAGCCAGAATAATTTGATGGTTCAGGAACTGAACTGCCCTGGCTAGGGGCCAGGTGGACCTGGCTGATTCCAAGTCTCGCATGACCGCAAATCATGCTGTCATGCCATCAGTGTCCTCTGGCAACAAATGGCCCAACTAGTGCTGAAGTTTCCTCACCTAGCGATTCCTAAACAACCACCATCACATGACATCGTGCATGTTGCACAAAGAAACCTGCCTCTGAGTGGCTGCGAAGGGATGGGGAGAGAGTGAGCCCAAGTTAGGGGAGGTGGTGGTGGGGCGGGCGGGGGAGGGGCTCCTTCAAAGGAAGAGGCAGGTCAAGTACACTTTGGGAACAAGGCTGGGCCTCACAGTTTCCCTGGGTGGGTGTGAGCCTGGAAGGGCAATTCCTTTTGAGCTGGGTCCGTCTCTGAGAAGCCTCTATTTCCTCCCAGTCTCTGCGCCCTTCATACCCTTTCTCCATGACGACCTCCTCTCTGGCAATTTTCCACCTTCTTCCATTTCTCCAAGTCACCCTAGCCTCCTCACCCCTTCTTTCTTTGAATGTTCAGGCCTTTCTAAGAAGAAAGCACTGAACACTGCGGACTGTTGGTTTGTTTTGCTTTGCTGTTGCTTGTTTCATTTTTAAATTTGGGAGGACCATTTTTCAACGGCATTCTCAGAACATAGACGAGTGTATACATACGGACTTTAGTGACCAGTGGGTCATTGATCTTCAAGGAAATGATCATCTTCTTTACAGGGGATCTTTCTTTGGTCTTCTTAGGTGATTGAGCTGGTAAAGGAAATAAGATGATGCTGGATGGATAACCATGGTGAAGACACAGTGAGAGGCACCCATCACCCTCGCATGTCCGTGAGGTATCAAGACAGGTATCACATGATATTTTCTTTGTTTTATAGATGCATTTGTACGTATGTATGTATGTATGTGTGTATGTATTTAGTTTTGAGGTGAGATGGAGTTACACTCTTGTCACCCAGGCTAGAGTGCAGTGGCATTATCTCGGCTCACTGCAACCTCCAACTTACAAGTTCAAGCTATTCTCCTGCCTCAGTCTCCCAAGTAGCTGGGATTATGCGCCACCACACCTGGCTAGTTTTATATTTTTAGTAGTGATAGGGTTTCACCATGTTGGCCAGGCTGCTCTCAACTTCCTGACCTCAGTTGATCTGTCCACCTCGGCCTTCCAAAGTGCTGGGATTACAGGTGTCAACCACTGTGCCTAGCCCACAGACATATTTTAAATATTTATTTATTTTGAAATAGCTTAAGACTCATAAGAAGTTGCCAAAATAGTGCAGAATTCCCATGTATCTCTCGCCTAACTCCCCGCCACGATCCTGCGTCGCCCTGTGCGTTGTCAAAACTGAGAAACTCATGCTCATGCTGCATTTTACATACTATGACTTCCCCCAACCCTCTCTCTTATTAGGCTGTGAGCAATGTGAGGGCAGTGTGAACCTCAGTCATTTCTGTACCCCGAGCACCTGGGGCAGTGCAGAGGCAGGTGGTGGGAGTGTCACCTGCTGAAGGATGAACGTGGGACTGAGGTGTCATATGGTGGCTATTGTCACTCCACTCTAGGGACCCCTGCCACCGAGGATTTCCAAGGAAAAAGGTAGCCCAATTCATTGCTAGCCAATGCCATCCACTCAGTCATTCTAGAACGTGAGTTACAGAGTTGCACTGCTCTCAGGTCTCCAGAGGTGCCCCATACCCCTGGCACAAAAGCCAAGGCTCTACTCGCAGCCCCAACTCCCGCATGGCCTGCAGCCCCTGCCCACCGCTCTGCCCATCATCCTCCCACCTGCTTCCTCTCACCATGCTCCTCAGGATGGTGGGGACTTCCTGCCCTCCCTCCCTCATCAGGGACCTTCTCACATGTCCCTCCCTCCGAGAGGCCTTTCCTGACCCCATGTGTGAGGTAGCACCCCACTCCCCCACTAACTGGTTTTATGTTTCTTCATAGACTAACTTGACCATGATCTTTCATGTATTACTCTATGTCCCTGTTGTGCTCTTCCCCCCACAGCTCAGCTAAGGTGGTTCGCTCGCCACTCCATCCCCTGGGCCCACCCCAGGCTTCCACACACGGGTGCTAGTAGATATTGGCTGAATGAATGCAGCGCATGGATTCCATCGCCAGGGAGCTCAAGCTTCCAGATAATGAAAAGTGATGTGAGCCAGAGCCAAAAAGTCCATCATCCTGTGCAACCATAAAGAAAGAGAGAGCAAGGGTCCCTTTCCCTCAGTCTCTCCTCGCTGTCATCCGCCACCTGGCTCTGTGCTGGCTCTCATTCAGCAAATACTGAGTGAGAACCCTACTAAGTGCCAGGCTTGCTCCACTCCGGATCACATTCTTCTCCAGCATGACTACAAGGCCTCCCATCTACTTGCACCAGCCTGCCATCCACCCCATGGCAGGGAGTAAACAGGAGGATGCACGTGAGTGCCCAGCACATAGTAGGTACACGGGAGGTGGTGGTTAATATTATGTGTCATGATATTTGCCATGCTTTGCCATCATTTTGGGTTTGTCTGTACCCTCAGATGGTAAGCTCCTAGCACAATGCCTAGCATAAGCTAAGCATTCCACATAGGAAGGAAGAAAAGAAGGAAGGGAGGAGGCAGGGGAAGTGGGAGGGAAGGAGGGGGGAAGGGAGGGAATCAGTTATGTCAGAGTAAGTGAAAGACAGAAGTTCAATATTCCCTCCAGGCTGAGTAAAACCCCCAAATTGGATAAGATATCAGTAATCTGATTATACTCTTCTCCAAGGTTCTCCAAAGCCAAGGTGGTTAGTTTGTTTTTAGTAAGTGAGCCACTTCCTTCTTGGATTCCACACTAGAGAATAAACACGTCCTCTCCAGGACAGCGGCTCCTCCACTCTCCATGGAAGGAAATGGAGCAGCTGGAGAGCCTGTGCATTTCTGCAGAGCCCAGCACTCCAGGGTCAGGACAGAAATTCCAGGATAGCCATGCAGATGACCTCAAGAACAGGGAAATGGTGACTGTGAGATAGGTCTGCACCATTGTCAGGTATATTCTTTTTTAAAGGCACATGAAGGACTGTGACTGTTCCTATCGAAAGACATGAATCCCAGGGCTTCATCGGTCCATGGAGCTGCGGAGGAGACGCTGGAGTCGTGACAGTCCAGGGCACTGGGGTTTCATCTCTGCACCTTCGCTGTTGGCTCCTAGCCAGGCACAGCCTCTCGCAGGGAGGCTTGGATCAGAGTGGCTGTCTTAGGAGGGCCAAATATTTTCATTTTAGGAACCCATTCTAGACATGTTAAAGACCGTCACATTAACAACTCCATTTCCCCTTCCAAACTCTCCTGCTTTTCCATGAACTCACTGTCTGGCTCACCAGAGCCCTTCATTGTTGGCCTGGCAAGTGTTCTGGCTTGGGTACAGGGGAGGCGGAAGAGCCCAGTCTGGCTCTTGAAGACACTGGGACAAAGGCTTCAGAAGAGCACAGAAGCTCATGAGCCAGCATCCAGGTTGCTGTAGTTCTGCGGGAGCCGAGCTGGCTCTCACTGCCTGCGCAGGGGGGAAGGGCTGAGTCAGATTCCCGCAGGCGGCGGGGCTCTCCCTCCAGGCTTGGGCTCAGGGAGGGGAATGACCAGGGGTTCCAGCTTCCTGTCTGGCTCTGGAATAACAGGGCTCTGCTGGCATGTCTCAGAAATGAAAGTCCATCCTGACTGGTATGCTGGCTGGCTTTGGGGGCTTCAAATATTCCATGGCACCTGCTTATGAGTCAGCCCAACCTGTAGCCCAAAGCAGCAGCTGGCAGTGCAGATGGAGAAGACTTAGAGAGTCAGGACTAGAAGAGGAGACAAAGAAAGAAGTGGCCTACCTTCTTTTGGGAATGAGGTGGAAGAGAGAAGAGAAGAGGAAAGAAAAGCAAAGACAACAAACAAAATAGACGCACACATGTGGGCCTCGAGCCAGCATACTGAGAGCCAAACAAGCCGCAGATGTCAGAAGTCTGCCTTCCTTCCACATAGCCTGTTTTTTTTGGGGGGGGGTGGGATGGAGTCTTGTTCTGTCGCCCAGGCTGGAGTATAGTGACACAATCTCAGCTCACTGCAACCTCCACCTCCTGGGTTCAAGCAATTCTCCTGTCTCAGCCAGCTAAGTAGCTGGGATTATAGGCGCCTGCCACCACACCCAGCTAAGTTTTGTATTTTTAGTAGAGACAGGGTTTCATCATATTGGTCAGGCTGGTCTCAAACTCCTGACCTTAGGTGATCCACCCACCTGAGCCTCCCAAAGCGCTGGGATTACAGGTGTGAGCCACTGTGCCTGGCGCGTTTTTCTTCTCAAAGTAGCAGGTAGAGCCTCTATGCCTGGGCTGGCCAGATGAGACTCGGGTTATTACAAGGATAGTAAGTGGCATGTACTGAGTGCTTGCTGTGTGCCAGGCCTTGTTCTAGAACGTCACACCTAATACCCCCTCTACTCTTCAAAGCTGCATCCTAAGGACTATTATCCCCATTTTACAGTTGAGGAAACTGAGGCTGTCACAGGATGAGATAAGGAGGCTTGCTCTTGACTGCTACAGTGACTGTGGTCTCAAAACAGATAACCATGTTTCCACCTGGGGACTCTCAAGATAGAGGGCACCGGGGCTCCAGCACTGGGCGCCGGGGAGGAAATACCTTGCAGAAGCTTCTCCAGCTCCTTTAGGGGGGATGTGCTGCCCTGTGTCAGGGCTTCCAAGTAGAGCTTGGCCAAGGTCTGAGACTGGAAAAGCTGGGGCTGATGGAGTTCCCATTTGAAGCCCAGGCACTCGAGAATCACATCTGAGGAGAGAAAATGACACTGAGCAAACGCATCAATAACGTCCCCACTCAAAGACTCGTCAGCTTCCTCCCCCGTCTCCTTTGCTAGGTGGGTCATTAGCAGATGAAGCAGGCAAGCAGCTTCCACAGGCATCTCAGAGAGGAAGTGGTAAAGTGTGGGCCTCGAGGGCGCAGGGGCTTTGAGGGAGACACTGAAGGAGTCTTACAAGGTCACCCAGGACATGACACATGTCCAGGACAGCGGTCGGCTAACAGCTGTAGGATTTCAGAGGCACTCACGCTGCCCTCCAACGTGGGGAATGAGGAAAGGTCATGGAACAGGGAAGTAAGGTAGCTGGGACTCTTTTGGGGGGCCCCCTCCCCATGACAGTATTTCTCAGCCGCGGCACTGTAAACATTTGGGGCCAGATACGTGTCTGTTGGGGCGCTGTCCCTTACACCATGGATGCCCAGCAGCAGCCCTGGCATCTTCCTACTGCATGCCCGTAGCACTCCCTCTCCAGCTGTGACAACCCAAAATGTTTCCAGACACTGCCATGTGTTCCGCATGAAGCCAGGTCACCCACCAATTCCCTGTTGAGGACTACTGGGCTATGGGTACCAAAGCATGACCCATCTGAAAGGCAATAGCAGGCCCACCAAAGAGGCAGGATTCTCACGACCCTCCCTTGACAATCTGAAGAAGGCTCTTTGCAAACCGTAGAACACTTTCTTCAGGGGCATCTATCCTGAGAACAAAATCAATGATAACAAAAAAAGGGGCTTTTTGATAGGAGGGCAGAGGGCGGAACCAAGGATAGCAGGCCAGGGGAGGCTCAAGAGGTTGTGGGGAGAGGACTCTGCATGGCTCAGCTCCCGTGTTGTTAGTACAGAGCTGGGGGAAGGAGAGGTGCCTAAGACCCTCAATTTCAGTGCCAGACAGGACCTGAAGGGCCACTAGCCCCATCTATGTATTTCTTGGTTTTGCCATTAGTTTCACGGTGTGACCTTGGGTAGCTGATTTTTCTTCTTGTTATTATGATCGTTATTCACCAATGTTATGATAGTGCTTGGTGCTGGAGTTCAGGGGGGTTTGTATCTCAAATCTTGCATCACCTTAGGTGGTCTGGTTATGCTGAGTTAGAAAAAGTCTCAGCCCATTAGGGTGATCATAGGCAGGAACGGAACTGTGGATACAGCATGTTCACTCACTGGATGTCAGTTTCCACTTTCGGAATGGTCAATGCATGGCAGCCATCACTAATCAATTCAGAGCTCTTTCTCTCATTCCAGGAGATGGTCTCAGACTACTTCTCTTGCTCAGAGTTGAAGGTGGGCAAGAAATTTATTAGCCTCTCTTTGGAAAAGAGGCTAGCTCTGATCTCAGGCAGCCACACC